ACACAGAGATTCCTCATCAAAACTACAGTGGTCGAGGAAAGAGACAGAGGAATCTGTAATGCAAACAAACAAGCACTGAGACTAAATCAATTCATTACCATTTACATTCATCACAGTGGTCCTTGGTCGTCAAATATTGGTCCAGCTGCAGTGACTTAATTAAAGACCACAAATGAAAACTGTCAAATACTCACTGCATTTGTAGAGTTTGTTGAGCTTAATCGCATCATATTCGCTCATTTCCATGAGCTGTCCGATCACGTCTTGGAGCTCAGGACTCTTGGTAATGATCGTGGGTCTGTTAAAGTAGCTGAAGGCATGTTTATCAAAATGCATCACAGAGTAATAATCATATGGGCTTTCTTGGGTAGTGGACATGTTCTCACTGTGCTTATTGAAATTACTCTCATACCCTAAAAATAAAGAATATTGACATTATTAAGGTGATTGCTCATAAGGCAAGGCTTGTTTTCTGTAGGTGCTCTTTAGTAATACTGACACTCAGTATGAAAAGCAAATAATCTAATCACTATTTTACAGTGCTTCCTTAGAAACAGCACTAAACATGAATAATAAAATGATGTAGCAACCTTCCCTGATGTTTTCATAGTTGATTGTCACGTATTCGTCTCTGTCATATCTCAAATGCTCATGGTTCAGTCCCAGAGCGTGGAGAAACTGGTGCTCAACGATGCCTTTTCTTCCACAGTACTCTCCAATGGAAAGAGTCTGTCCTCCAGGAGACGAGCGTCCGATATATGACCAACACCTGCGGAATAACTCACAGTCACACAACACATAGCTGGATAAAGGTAGCAACACTACTAGTCAGATTATACAAGAGCTTTATTTATTGTGTTTAAAGACCTTATTTGACAAAAGCCTTTACGAGGAAAAGTGTCTGAACTTTTGAGTAAATAATTCACTCAAATATTTTACTCTACACATTCACTATAGCACATGCCGTATCAGACCAGTCTATAATATATTAGATATAGCTAATTACTCATTTGAAGCGTAGCGTACCCTTCACGACTCTCCACAGA